AATATATCTCAAATAATGTATGCACCACCATTTCCCCACATAAACATAACAGTCTGCAATCAAACGGTTGTCTCCTGTGCGCTCCTCTTCCTACTTGGCGCACCGGTAACAAGCTCGTGCGCACGAGAGGAGACCTTATAAGGCTGAGCCGCCGAATCCCTCATCATAAAAGCCATTTTCAACGGTTTTCTGGTGAAAGATTAACTAGCTACTGGATGAAATAATATGACTGGTGGCATAGGTGCGAAAATTAAACACTTTTTGAAAAAATATTATGATAAAATATTTTTATATATTTATAATTCTGCAAATATTACGATAAACTCACAGCTATTTCGCGGCCCGGCAGTAACACCTCTACGGCCCGGTACCGGTCCGCGGACCGGGGGTTGGGAACCCCTGCCTTAGACGGCCGCTTGTTGTTCACAGTCACCCATTGCACTGAGCCCATTCAGATTACTGTGAATAAGGACCATACCGAGAGCATGCAATTCCATATTTTTGAGTCGGCTCAGCACCCGATTATTTTGGGGTTTCCATGGCTAAAGATCCACAATCCTCACATTGACTGGCGTTCAGGGAAAATTAAGGAATGGGGAGAGGATTGTATGGGCAGGTGTAAACTTTCACAACCTGTTAATGCACCAACAGACTCTCGTAAAATCATTATAGATCACCCCGACTATCCTGATCTACAGAAGGTACCTTCCTGTTACCATGATTTAAAGGAAGCCTTTAACAAATCCAAAGCCATGTCGCTACCTCCTCACCGAGATTTTGACTGTCCCATTGATCTCTTACCGGGAGCCCCCATTCCCAAGGGGAAACTTTATTCGATTTCGAGACCTGAGAGAGCAGCAATGGACGAATACATTTCCTCTTCACTCAAATCAGGAATTATCCGTCCTTCATCTTCTCCAGCCGGAGCGGGATTTTTCTTTGTGGGAAAGAAAGACGGGTCTCTGAGACCTTGCATAGACTACAGTCCACTAAATGACATTACGGTGAAGAACCGCTATCCTCTGCCACTCATGACATCTGCCTTTGAACTACTTCAAACTGCCAAAATATTCACCAAGTTAGATTTAAGAAATGCATATCACTTGGTTAGAATAAGAAAAGGGGATGAGTGGAAGACAGGATTCAACACTCAGAGTGGTCACTATGAGTATCTAGTAATGCCCTTTGGACTATGCAATGCACCGGCTGTGTTTCAAGCTCTTGTGAATGAGGTTTTACGGGAATTTTTGAATATTTCAGTGTTTGTGTATCTGGATGATATTCTGATTTTCTCCCCAGACACTAAGTCTCATGTTAACCATGTCCGTCAGGTTTTGCAGAAACTGCTAGAGAATCAGTTATATGTCAAGGCAGAGAAGTGTGAGTTCCACACAAAAGAGGTATCCTTCTTAGGATACATAATCTCACCTAATCATATGCAAATGGATCCGGCTAAAATCAGTGCAGTATCCCAGTGGCCTACACCAGACTCCAGGAAGAAGGTCCAACAGTTTCTAGGGTTTGCTAACTTCTATAGGAAGTTTATTAGGAATTTCAGTTCTGTTGCTGCCCCTCTACATGTTCTGACTTCTCCTAAGGTTCCTTTCAAGTGGACTCCCCAGGCGGACTTCGCTTTCCAACGTCTCAGAGAGAGATTCACATCAGCCCCCATACTCACCATTCCAGATCCCCAGCGCCAGTTTATGGTCGAGGTTGATGCTTCCAATGAGGGAATTGGAGGAGTACTGTCTCAACGTTCTGCAGAAGACAACAAGATGCATCCATGTGCTTACCTGTCGCGGAAACTGACAACGGCAGAGCGGAATTACGACGTGGGGAACAAGGAACTGTTAGCTGTAAAAGCTGCCCTCGAGGAATGGAGACACTGGTTAGAGGGTGCAGAGCAGCCGTTTTTAGTCTGGACAGATCACAAGAATCTGGAATATATAAGAAAGGCTAAGCGTCTCAACTCCCGTCAGGCCAGGTGGACACTATTCTTTAGTAGGTTCAATTTCACCCTCTCTTTTCGTCCCGGGTCTCAGAATCAAAAACCCGATGCTTTGTCTCGTCTTTATGATCCGGAACCACTTGCGGTAGAGCCCAAGACCATCCTTCCACTTAACCGTGTGATCGGAGCCTTTTCCTGGCAAGTGGAGTCGGACGTAAAAAAGGCGAATGTCAAGAATCCAGCACCTAGCGAGTGTCCCAACAATCTGCTGTTTGTTCCTGAGGCTCTTCACTCCAAGGTCATCCACTGGGCTCACTCATCTGTGCTTTCGTGCCATCCGGGGGTAACAAGGACAATGTTCAGGATACAACAACGTTTCTGGTGGCCAGACATGAAGAAAGATGTGGCAGAGTACGTAGCGGCTTGTCCGGTGTGTGCGTGTAATAAGACCTCATCACAAGTCAAGATAGGCTTGCTCCAGCCCCTGCCGATTCCCCAACGTCCTTGGTCACACATTTCAATGGATTTTGTGACAGGATTTCCTTCATCCAGAGGCAAGACTACGGTCCTAACAGTGGTGGATCGATTTTCAAAGATGGCTCACTTCATCCCATTGACCAAGCTTCCCTCTGCCAAAGTCACCGCAGAGGTCATGATGAATCACATATTCAGGATCCATGGATTCCCTGATGACATTGTTTCCGACAGGGGTCCACAATTCATTTCCGTTTTCTGGAAGGAGTTTTGTCGACTCATAGGTGCCACCGTCAGCTTGTCATCAGGATATCATCCTCAGTCAAATGGACAGTCGGAGCGTCTGAACTAGAGACTACGCTACGTTGTCTCGTCTCCCGGAACCAGACTACCTGGAGTGACCACCTCACATGGGTCGAGTTTGCCCACAATACTCTTCCTACGGCAGCCACAGGTCTCTCTCCATTCCATTGTGTCAATGGTTTCCAGCCTCCATTTTTCCCTAACAACGAGGAAGAGGTGAGGGTTCCATCGGCTCATGCCATGATCAGACGTTGTCGACGAGTTTGGGCTGGTGCTCGCCAGGCTCTTCTCCGAAGTTCAGCTCGGATGAAGGCTGTTGCAGACGTCCATCGCAGGGTCGCTCCCTCCTACAGACCAGGCCAAAATGTTTGGCTTTCCACTAAGGACTTACCACTCCATGTCGCCTCAAAGAAACTGGCTCCGAGATTTGTGGGTCCTTTCCCGGTGTCCAGAGTCATCAACCCGGTGTCTGTACGCTTGCAACTCCCCAGAACTATGAGAGTACATCCGACGTTTCACGTCAGTAAAATCAAGCCGGTGTGCGAGAGCACACTTGTTCCCGCCTCCAAGCCCCCTCCACCGCCCGAGTTCTTTGAAGGGGGTGAGGTTTACAAGGTCTGTAAGCTACTGGAGGTCCGTAATAGGGGGAGGGGGAAGCAATTCCTGGTAGACTGGAAGGGTTACGGTCCTGAGGCTAGAAGCTGGGTAGCTGCGTCATTTATCGTAGACAAGACGCTTATCCACGATTTTTACAATCAGCCTGGGCCATCAGGAGTTGGCCCTAGAGGGGGGGGTACTGTTGTGCACCGACAGAAATGCTAGAGAGATGCATGTTATTTACGTTTGCTTTCTCTCATTCCAGGCTTCCTGATTATTTTCACCTGTGTCTCCTGTGCTCATCAATGTCAGCCCCGCCCCGGATTGGTCCCACCTGTGTCTAGTTACCCTGTGCTTATATTCCCCTGTCTCCCAAGTGTTCTTTGTCAGTTCGTATTGTCTCTTGCTATGGTCAGGTCTATGCTCTTTGTACTCTTGTAAAGTTTGATTCCTCACTACGTGAGCGCTTTCATTTTGTTCCTCTATTTTTGTCATCTCGGTTAGAGATTTGATAGTTACCTTTTTTGTTGTTCATTGCTGTATTTTGGAAAATAAAGTATCTTACTAATACTTTACCTCTGTCTCCCGGGTCGTGCAATTGGGTCCTACATCCTAAGTGTCTGAGTTCGTAACAGAAGCCAGGATTTTTTTTTTTTTTTTTCGATACTTTGACTTTTCTTTAAAGTAAAATAAAAAAAATGGGTAACTACTATGGAAAACAATCTGTATTTATCTATCAGAATGCAGTCAATACCTGTTTAATAAGTGTGTTGTTGATGACGATTGAAAACAGAATGAATAGTGATCCCCGTGTAAACAGAACGGCTGAAGTTTGTAAACTAGAAGACATTTTGGATATCGTTCATTCTGGCAGTACTATTCCGGGTCATTGGGAAACGATTATAAACGAAACATTTAAAGTGGTACTGGAATCTTCATTTTCCGAAACATTCTGTAACATTACCGAAGAAATGAAACAAACACCAAAAGTGTATCATGTGCTCGCATTGTATGCTCTGTTTGTAGATGTAATGCATCTTTGTGTCAAAAACAGCATACACATGAATACTTTGGCCGAAGTGCAAAAACTCCATTATAATATTTCCCTTCATCTGGGGGATTCTGTGCTGGAGAAGATCCGGGGGATGTTGCAATCAGTATACATGTATTATTGATTCCTATGGGGTGAAAACAATAAATTGTAAATATGAAATTCTGCAAATAAAAAAAGTGTTTTTTACATTTTAACAAACTGTTGCAGTGTTTCAGTGTTTCAGTGTTTTGTGTGTCCCTGGAAGGAATATAGCAGGATGAGAGAAAAACATTTAAAAAAAAACGTATCTTAGAAGTGGCTATAGCATTTGATGCAATTCTAAAAGATAGTCAGATTCCTAAAAAGTTACAAACGGATGCTTGAAAATAATTATTTGTTTCTTCAGCAAGGCTTCAAAAATCTTGTTAAATAATTATTGTGGGGTTTCTCCGGAAGTGTTTCCTTGTACGATGTGAGGGTCTAAGGACAGAGGGGGTCGTATTGTCACTGATATTCTGTACAAACTGTGAAGTCCACTGAGACAAATGTAACCTTTGTGATATTGGGCTATATAAATAAACATTGATTGAACTCTAAATGAGCTGATTGTAATCTGTAAACACAAACAATATGCAGGAATGTGAGTCTGTTTCAAAGGCTTTTATTATTTTAGTTTAGTTTGATGATATAAACAGAACAGAATCACACTGGAAACATCGTACATATTCTCTATATCAATAAGTCATTGGTTCTTCTTTTAGACCAGAACAGACTGATAACTCAACAGGAACTATCAAACACATCCCAATGGAAGTTTCAAGTCACAACATTTCATTAACCAAACAGATTATTAGAGAAACTACTCTGCAGATGAATCAGTCAGTGGTTATAGTATAAATCAGAAAAGTAGTATGACAAAAACATTAAACATATTCAAAACTTCTGTTGATAAAGATGGAGTATATATGAAGTCATGTATGAATATTGTCAAACAGAGTTTATACAGTCAGACAGATTTTTCTCATCTGAATTGTCGTAGGACTAATTAATTGCCCTCTTTTTTTGTTGCACATGCAGATTTGACTTGGAAAATGTCAGGTTCAGAAGAGTCTCCAGGGTTGTCCTCAGTCTCTGGTTGTAAATGTCTCTCTGGATCTGAGTTCCTGGCTGGTTCTGGTCCTCCACAGTCCTCTCCATCAGCTTCTGTTTCCATGTGTTCAGCTGAGCTGCTGGCTGGAGGCTCTGCCTCTCTGTTCTCCTCAGTTTGAGTTTGATGAAGCGGTGAGGACTGACGACTAACACACTTATGGCTTTTGACCTGATGACTCCAGGTGAATATTTTGTCACAAACACTGCAGCTGAATGGTTTCTCTCCAGTGTGGATTCTCATGTGTCTATTTAAATCTCCACTCTGTGTAAAATATTTCTCACAGACTGAGCAACTGAATGGTTTCTCTCCTGTGTGGATTCTCATGTGTCTCTGTAAACCTCTCTCTGCAAAAGATTTCTCACAGACTGAGCAGCTGAATGTTTTCTCTCCTGTGTGGATTCTCATGTGTCTATTTAAAGTTCCACTCTGTGTAAAAGATTTCTTACAGACTGAGCAGCTGAATGTTTTCTCTCCTGCACTACGTCTTGAATCACTGACATGGTCTTGTTTATTTCTCTGAGAGTTTGAACCTGGTTCTCTGGTCTCCTTCCAATCAGCACTGCCTTCAGTGTCAGGTTCAGAAGAGTCTCCAGGGTTGTCCTCAGTCTCTGGTTGTAAATGTCTCTCTGGATCTGAGTTCCTGGCTGGTTCTGGTCCTCCACAGTCCTCTCCATCAGCTTCTGTTTTCATGTGTTCAGTTTGTCTTTGATGAAGCTGAGAGGACTGAGGTTTCTCTTCATCATCCTCACTCTTCACAGGGACAGGAGTGAATGTGGACTTGGTGATATCAGCCTCCTCCAGCCCTTGAAGCTGCTCTCCCTCCTGACTGATCCAGAGTTCCTCCTGCTCCTCTTTAATGTGTGGGGGGGGCTCTGGGTCCTCCTGGTCCAGACTGGAGCTCCACTCCTGCTGCTCAGGGGGAACCTCTTCTTTAACCACCACCAGCTGCTGGACGTCTGCAGGAAACAGGAAACACATATTCAGAGAAACTCTAGAGTATTAGAATTTAAAATCTAACCACGAAGTTCCGCCCACTGTGTGTTTCTGTTGGCTCGATTGTCTGTCAATTACACCTTTTTTCCAGATGCCCTGGAGAGTTTCAGGACAACAGGTGAGTTAGTACGGTAGCTGGTCTAAAACGTAGTTTCACTGCCGCTTAGCAAGGCGTCGGCCGTTCACGGAGTGTGAGGCCTTAGCCTTACAGTTTGTGACCTGTCTGCAGAGTCGTTAGCTGAGAACTGGTGTTGGAGTTTCTCAGAGTAGTCGTTTAGCATCTCTCACCGCCTTGCTAAACCTGTACTTGGACTCATACAGGTGCATCTCAATAAATTGAATATCATGGAAAAGTGAGTTTATATCAGTAATTCAATTTATAAAGTTTAAACTTATACATCACATAGATTCATCACACACAAAGTGATTATTTCCAGCGTTTTAATCTTGATGATTGCAGCTTACAGCTAATGAAAAGACAAAACAAAGCATTGAATATTACATAAGACTAGGGTTCCAGATGAGAACCGAGTTTCGGCGCATGATGTCCATAGTTAACCGCAAATTAATCGCACATTTTCTATCTGTTCTAAATGTACCTTAGAGGGATATTTTTCAAGTTTTTAATACTCTTATCAACATATGAGTGGACAAATATGCTTTATATGTTTGTTTAATATCATTTGAACAATGACAAATATTCTCATGAATATTAAACAACAACCTGGAACCTCTCTCATACAATACAAAGTGTGTGTGTGTGTGTGTGTGTGTGTGTGTGTGTGTGTGTGTGTGTGTGTGTGTGTGTGTGTGTGTGTGTGTGTGTGTGTGTGTGTGTGTGTGTGTGTGTGTGTGTGTGTGTGTGTGGTGCTGAGTGTGCTGACTTTTGGGGTTTGTTCAACTTTTAAAAGATGTTTGAATGGTGATATACACAGTGATAGATGTTAAGGACTAACGTTTATAATAAATACATTTGTATTGATTTGAAGATCTTTTCATACAATCATACGTATTGGGATCATTTGTATTAATGTGGACCGGAGGGAGAGAGTGACGAGCATAAGTTTCACTTTCCTTTTTTATTTCAATTCCAACTTTGGTCATGAAGAATATGTTTCTCTGTTGTCCCCGTTCATAAAGCATAACAGCATCAGAGCACGGTGCAGAGTCTCTAGATGAGTTTACAGTAGTCCCTCGTTCTTATTAAACATCCATGTTGTAGTCCGCTGTATAGAAAACTGTAGTTTCCATAGTTTCCCCACAGCAGCAGACGCACATTCATGACGTCCGCTGGCACATCATAAACACGTCGGATAGTGAAAGTGCAGTCGGATTCTCTAAAGTACCGCAGTCTCTTCTCCTAAGTCCTTTTGAATTCTCCTATCCACTATCCCTTAACCCCGTGACGTTTCACTCAGAGGTCAAGGAATAGACGATAGGGTTAGAACTTAGGAGCTGATTTTTGGACTATTCGACCGCAACCCCGGTGGAATCGAGGAGTCAGTCTGTGCACCAAAGTCTAAACCACGGTCCTCCCAAACTAGTCTCAACCAATCATAAATGTACGGGCAACGCTGTTACCGTTTAACTGGTGACGCGGGGGAACTCGTGACGTTCTATAAAATACATATACACATTTCGATCGCTTCTTCTGTCGTTTACATTAATCTTTTGGTATATTTGGCTGGATAGGAACACTTTGATGCACATTCAGTACCAGTGTGTGAGGTTGTGGTTGCGATGCCGATATCCGGACACGTACAGCGAGGACTATAAAAAGACACATGAGGTGACTGGGGATGTCTGTTCAAAACATTGCACGCTTGAATAAATAATTTAAACCAGCTATTGTTGCCAGACTTATTGCTGAATATCGTTCTTAATGTGATACCAAGTCCATCTGAGACCCGTGTACACCTTCAGACAGCCTCCAAGTGAAGCACACGTTGTTTACTCACAGTTTGAAAGCAGCGTGGAGAAGTCTTCAGCTGAGCTGTGATCCGCCCAGGATAACTTGTGATACGACTTCTGTTCTGTGGCTATCAACCAGCGATCATGTTTAATATTAAAGACTACACACATGTATCCCTTATCAAAACGGTATTCTGCACTTTGCAGCACTTATCCAGATGAGATGTGACTGTTTACTTGGTTAACTTTCGTTATGCATCGATACAGCGACACAAACCGAAAGACGAGGATACTCACATACGTTGAGAACTAGAAACACATATATTCATAATGTTTACTCTGCTGTGAACATGTTTTCGTTTCTATCTTAACGTTTATGCTTTTATCTTTGTGTTATTTTGTGTTATATGTTGTATCTATTTCTGTGTAACTTGGTAATATTAATATGAATTCCTTGTTATTGTTGTCTTTCCATCTGTCGGTGATGATTATACTACATAATGAAACACATGGCCTGATTAGCATATTTGATATGATATAACTTAATGTGTGCACTGGAATACATTTATATGTCAAATGACCACTTATCACAACATGTGGGCTCGCAGGCTGATCAACTAGGATATCTGATCTCGGTGGGTCTTAATGAGACTTGATACAGACCTCAGTCAGTAGGCTATTTCAAAGCAAATGCCTACTATAATATGTATATTATATGGCTTAAGTGTACATACATTCGCTCGCATTATAAATGATGGTTGGCTTGCATTTTTCTGAATCTTTTAACAATGTTAATGTGTAAAAATTCAGCTATGATGAACAAATATGTCGTAATGATTCGTGGCTCACTCACAACGCGCAGGTCTAGAGTGATTTTTGCTGTTGGGACTCGGGTTTGAGTCCAGCATGAACTTTTTAGTTATTTTCATGTCGATGGACACTGAATTATATGTTTGAATAGAGGATTCATAATATTGTTTGCGGAGACCAAAATGAATGACCAAGCAGCATTTTACAGTCTAAATATCCCTACACATGCAGAATGACATTTCTGCTGCTATCTTTGCAAAACGAGTAAACAGTCACATCTTATCTGGATAAGTGCTGCAAAGTGCAGGATACCGTTTTGATAAGGGATACATGTGTGTAGTCTTTAATATTAAACATGATTGCTGGTTGATAGCCACAGAACAGAAGTCGTATCACAAGTTAAACTGGGCGGATCACAGCTCAGCTGAAGACTTCTCCACGCTGCTTTCAAACTGTGAGTAAACAACGTGTGCTTCACTTGGAGGCTGTCTGAAGGTGTACACGGGTCTCAGATGGACTTGGTATCACATTAAGAACGATATTCAGTAATAAGTCTGGCAACAATAACTGGTTTAAATGATTTATTCAAGCGTGCAATGGTTTGAACAGACATCCCCAGTCACCTCATTGTCATTTTGTAGTCCTCGCTGTACGCGTCCGGATATCGGCATCGCAACCACAACCTCACTGGTACTGAATGTGCATCAAAGTGTTCCTATCCAGCCAAATATACCAAAAGATTAATGTAAACGACAGAAGAAGCGATCGAAATGTGTATGTGAGTGATTCTACAATTTAGGGTACATTCCATGTCCATTGATGTCCATTGATGATAATTATAATTATTCCAACTATTTTCTTCAAAAATATCATATTTTGCCTATTATTGGAAAGCATGTTATAATATCACACAAACATTATGTGCATCCTATGCTTTATTTACCTTGAAATGTGTCATGATGTTCTTAAATTGTCAGTTTTTGCTCTGTCCGTTTTTCAGTTGAGGGTGTCTTGGTTTCAAAATAATGAATAAAAACCATTAAAGTAAATAAAAAAAAGTATTCATTTATTTCAAAAGTCTAAATACTAAAGAATAATAACATATTTTTAATTGATTTCCTCCTTTAAATAATTTAAATATCTTAATATATGAATGTCCGCAAAAGTTCTGTCAACTATGTTACTAACAGAACTTCCCCCTTTAACTCAAAAATGGTTTGTCCCAATACCATGTCACCAGCATCACATGATGCCATGTTCCTCTTTGGCAGACATTTTGAACACACTGTGGTGATTGTCCTCTAATTTTTTACAATATTTTATGTATAATAGCACATGGTCAATTAATATACTCATTGACAATCAACAATGTTACGTACATTGTTATGGTTTACAATTGTTTAATGATTTTAATTCAATTATATGTTCAAATGTGATGTTAACCTGTTCAAGAAAATGACATGTGGTCATCCAGGCAAGGCCTACCATTGAAATGATGGGTCAAAATAGGGAAATTGTCAACTAGGTTACCTGTCAACTAAGTTACCCAGTACTGTAATAACTGTAGTAACAGTTATTACATTTATATCAAATAAAATAAAAAAATGTTTAAGCTTTGCAACCAGTGGATATGTTACACTGAGGAATATACTAACTTGAACCACTGATTGTTCTATTGAGAAAGAACACTTTCTTTGTACTGTTTTGTTGATGTGAAATGCACCATAAATTATAGAATCACTCATATGTATTTTATAGAACGTCACGAGTTCCCCCGCGTCACCAGTTAAACGGTAACAACGCCCTCTGTAATAAAATGTATTGACGCACGAGGTTCGAGGCTTTTTTACGGAAATAGTGGTTACAGATTACAGCTTTAAAAAGGGGACAGACCTGCTCTGTGGATCTGAAGCTGAGGCTGTAAAACAGCGTCCAGTAGTTTCCGGTGTCTCTCGTTCTCCTGTTTTGAACGAGACAGTTCCTCCTCGTACTCTGCTATCGTTCTTTCAAACAGAACAAAGATGTCTTCAGCAGCCGCAGTGAGTCGCTGCTTCACCAACGAGAGCAGCACAACACTCATGTTTACTAAATCACCACTTCCTGTTTCTCTCACTCTGTGTTGCTAGCGTGTTACCAGCTAGCATGCTAAGCTAGCTTCTAGAGTCCGAGCTAAAGGCTTCAGAAGAAAGAGCACAAAGTCAGAGGTTCATCCAGACACACAGACGATGGATCAGCTGCTCACACAGACTTCCTCAGGAACACCGAGAGAGAACCATGGATGTAGAGAGAGAACCATGGATGAAGAGAGAGAACCATGGATGAAGAGAGAGAACCGACGAGATGCGATCTGGTTCCAAGTTAGAAAGAGCGGGACCATCACTTCCGGTGCAGGGACTTCAAAATAAAAGCGGCTATGATTTCCCCTTAGACAATACCTAAACCTTTAAGATACACAGACATGGAGCTGCGGAGAGAACCCGGTTTATTTCTCCTGAAACACCTTTATCTATATTATAAGTATTCCCCCTCTTCCTGTAATATAATATTTGTAAGAAGAGAAAGGTGAAGAGAGAAAACCGTGGGTTTTATTGTGAAGGCCAGCACCGGAAGTTGTGTTTCAGGCTCTCCGTTAGCATGTTAGCTGGGGGGAAACAAGAAACCCTGGTTTCCGGTCGAATCGTCCAAAAATCAGCTCCTCTCGTCTTTTCCTAACCAAGACGAAAAGACGAGAGGAGCTGATTTTTGGACAGTTTGTCCACAGCCTAACTCTGCATGAGTTTTAAAAGTCTCTCTGACTCTTTACAGTCTCAACAAGTGTGTCTCTGTTAGCAAGATAACAGCTAATGCATCATGGGGGTTGTAGTTTTTAATCAACTTTATAGAGATCCAGGGGAAGTGTAGCGACCCTGCATAGGGTGCTGGGTGTGTCACTCAGGCGTCCCCCGTCTCTCTGCCAATCACAGAGCTGCACAGTATTGCTGGTCGGTGTGCGGGCCTGTGGTTGGGGGAGCAGAGGGGGGAGGGCTGGGGAGTCGTGACGTTGACCCTGCTGTGTGTGTGAGTTAGGGAGTGGAGTAGAGAGTAATGATAAACCTGTAACCTGTAACCTGAGCTGTATACTATAACCGTAAGCGAACAAAGGAGTTATTAAACCCAATCACTGGAAGCCTGTTTCCGACTCCCTTTTGTCGAACGTTACAGAAGAAACAAACAGTGCCATCAAGGGGCGGAGCTACAGCAACACATGGGGGCAATACAAGCTGGAACATTCCCAACCCGGTATCACGGCAAGACGTGAACATGTGACAATCTACCATGCTGGGAGACGTGAATATGTCACGGTTTCGTCCCTTCAAACGTGACAGTGGGTGTTTCTCAATCGCGAGTACGCTTGCTTGGTAGCACATGTCTGCCGAGCATCTTGCTTCAGAAGCGAGGCAAGAATACTTCCTGGCATTCGGAAAACGAAGAGTGGAACACGCTAGCAAGTGTGCAGGTGTGCGTCATATGAGAGGCCCCGCCTCTTACATCTTCCGCCACAGATTTGGGGAAATTGGTCTGTGCGCAAAGCATTGTGGGGATTTTAAGACCGCGGAGTCTACTCATGTGCAGCCTCGATATTTCTCCAAACGGAGTACGCCGGGCTCGGTAGATTTCCAAGTATGCTGGAGATTGGAACAGTACTTCGGCGGCACTCGATGACGTAGTATGCTTGAAATAGTGGCTCTGGAGCAGCTTTACTCGACATTGAGAAACACCCACAGTCTATGCTCCACACACATGGATTAACATGGATTTAATACATTAATGTAGCCTTTGTTTCTGCTAAAAGAGGTGTCGACCAGCTCGGGCAACAAGAAAATCGGCGAAATCGAGTGTGAAATTAAAAACATCTAATTTTGACAATAAAAACCGACCAATAGTCTTGGTAGAGCATTTGCTTGGCACTTCCGGGTATTTCTCCACTGGTTGGGCCATGTTAACAATACCGTGTAACTGTCACGTTTGAAGGGACGAAACCGTGACATATTCACGTCTCCCAGCATGGTAGATCGTCACATGTTCACGTCTTGCCGTGATACCGGGTTGAACATTCCATACAAGAGAACGGCTGGTCTCTATCAGAGAGAGGATACATACAGACATCATTACAATACTTATCCTGAGGGAAGAATTGGTTTTGTGGCAGAATACATTTATAAAAAAAATATTAAATAAGATAAATAAAATAAAAATATTAATATGAAGATAAAAAAGTGAAATGTAAATGTACAATAATAATAATAACAATACAGTCTCAACGAGTTTATCTGAGGCCTGTTAGCATGCGCGGCTAACAGATAGCTTCCAATGCATAAGATGAGATGCACTTTATTGATCCCAATCTGGGAAATGATTGCGTTGCAGCAGCATAAAAGACAAGGCATTGCACATGAGAGAAATGAAAAGAGTAGAAATAAACACTTCTAAAATGTAAACATCTCAAAACTGAAATAAAACAGCATTAAAAAAGAAGAAAATATACATTTTGAAATACCAATTTACCAAATATAAAGCAGGATATTATATCCATTAAGTGTGTAAGGAATGGAATATTAAATTAAATATAAATGTAAAATGTACATTGTGCTAAAAACATCTCTGATTTGTAAAGAGCGAATTACGACAATTCAAACCAAGAAATACAAAAAGATATAACAAGGTGGTCTACCTTACCACTCGACCTAAACTCAAGAATTCAAATCGTTAAACTAAATGTTCTACCTAGATTTCTCTATCTATTCCAATCTTCACCAGTAGAGGGCCCCCAAGGTCCATTTAGAAATTGGGACAGACTGATATCCAGATTTGTTTGGGGGGGGGGGAGAGAGGCCAAGAGGTAGGTCCAGAACTCTCCAGCTACCCAAAGAAAGAGGCGGTATGGGTTTGCTCAGATTGATGGAGTACTGCTGCTGCTCAGCTAAGACCCATTTACTGTTGCTGTGAAACGGAGTTTAGAGCAAAGTGGAAGCATATGGAAAATGAAGTAAACCAGATTCCAATTCAAAATATGAGTGGGGATTATAAACTATATAAGGAACTCAGAACTAAAATGGGTCCAATAACAGTGCACACATTGGATCTATGGTTTAAAGCAGTGGTTCTCAACTGGTGGGTCGCGACCCAAAAGTGGGTCGCGGACCCGTTTCGAGTGGGTCGCGGATGTGTGAGTGAAGAAAAAAAAGTTGGGAAAAAAAAATTGGATTTTTTTTTTTTTTTTTTTTGGGGGGAAAAGTCAATGCGTGTACCAGAATGCGTAGTTTATGTTAGTATTTCTAAAAATCTCCTGGGGGAGAATCCCCCCAGACCCCCCTGCTGGGGTTGGGTTTCAGCATGTGTGCCTTTTTATATAGTTCAGCTTTGATTCCATCATCTCATTAAACCTTTTTTAAAAGCATACTTTAGTTCTGTGAAGGCATATAAGGGATATATGCACTGTACTTCACTTTTATTAATATTGTATGCTCAAAAGCGTATATATATATATTACAGCACGATTTTTTGTTGAATAGATTTGAGTGCTTCAAAATGTTGGGTCGCGATGTATTGACCAAGTAAAAAGTGGGTCCCGAGGCCTGACCAGTGGAGAACCACTGGTTTAAAGTATTGAACATAGATAAGATTCAAAATGATGCAAATATAATAAAATGGGGAGCTTATGATGGAAACTTCAAACCTGCAAAATAAGATCAAGGTTTTAAACAATGGGTAGAGAAAGGAATAACAGCTTGGTGTGTTTTGGTTAAGGAAGGGGAGCTGGAGGGTTTTGATCATCTGAGAAGAAAACACACATTGGGAACACATGACTTCTATAGATACCTTCAACTAAGGGACTGTTACAAGAGGGGAGTCACATCAGATTCTTCCAAGGAGTTGAATAATATCATCCAAATTATAACTAAAGCATATCAGGAAAGAAACATAAGAATCATTTCAGCATTATATCAAGGATTTAGCAAAACATGACAAACACTCAACTAAATATTTCGAGGTTAGATGGGAGGAAGAACTCCAGATAGAAACACCAGATGAAGATTGGCATGATATGTGGAGGATCCATCATTCATCCACCAGTTCACGTGGAAGACTCTGATTCCTCTCTTCATAACACCAGAGGTGAAGAGTGAACAGATGCACAGTCCACAGAAGTGTTGGTGACAATGTGGTTCTTTTGATGCTGACCATATTCTTTTTAAAGCAGGGCTTATTTTCTCAAACCAATAAACACAATTCACAAAACACACAAAGTGCAAAACACCTCATATATACTGCAAACTGAAGCACTGCACCCAAAACTACAGAAACACTTACCAAAACCAAAGTTCTCCACCAAATGGCACACACTTTATTTATAGTACAAGACACTTTGTCCAGCCAACTACACACCATAGTGCTTTGTCTAAAGCAGGGGTTCCCAACCCCAGGTCTGCGGACCGGTACCGGGCCGCGGAGGTGTTACTGCCGGGCCGCGAAATAGCTGTGAGTTTATCGTAATATTTGCAGAATTATAAATATATAAAAATATTTTATTAAAAAAATATATATTTTTCTTTTAAATGTTCGCACCTATACCAGTCATATTATTTCATCCAAAACATACAAAATAAATCAAAATTGGTTAGCATAAGGTCTCAGCCTCTCGTGCGCAGAGAAAGTTACCGGTGCGCCAATAGGAAGTGGAGCACACAGGAGACAACCGTTTTCATCGCAGACTGTTATGTTTATGTGGGGAAATGGCAGTGCATACATTATTTGAGATATATTTTAAACTCGGACTTCATTTTAAGGACATTGCGGCCAGGGGTGTTGTGGAGCTATTTTTTTTCACTTGCAGCATCAGGAGGCAGCCTCTGAGAAGTGCAGCACCAGCGCGTACACACCGCCTTCACTGTGTTCACCACTGCAAGGCAGGCTGCTACGTTTCAACCACACACACCTCTACACACACACATCGAACGGCCCGATTATTCCCCCTATTACTTGTTGTATGAAGGAAATACGGTCAATACGGTCACAAAGGCGCATGATGTGTGTGTGTGTGTGCGTGTGCGTGTGTGTGTGCTCTGCGCTCTGCTCAGCTCCGCTGTGTGTGTGTGTGTATGTTCGGTGTGTTTGTGTGTGTCCAACAACAGCATTTGTTTTCAAATGACCATGAACAGTAATTTACACACATCTGGCCAACTCCATAATGTATATGTGGGTGTTCCCAAAATAAATTAGTTTAATCTTAATCTCGATGTAGTGCTAAATGCTGTCGGAGAGCACCGGCAGCTCTGTGATCGCTTGACACCGCCGGAACTA